GTGTATTTACTACGTTCACGTACCCCTTTCTCTTTTTTCAACAACGAAAAACGATATGGTTCTCAGCAGGAACACTCTGCAAATAACCTTCCATCAGACGCCCTTTATCTTAAACCGTTGCCCAGATTATGCGCTGAAATACACACCCTAGAAAACACCACAATAGGATGCAACGGGTTCCTACTATAGTTAGAACGACCGAAAAATTTCGTCGAACGAATGAATTTCGAATTTTCGAATTAATCGGTTTTCGAAAAATATTCGAACGAACGAATATTATTCGATCTGTAATTTTCAGATTATTCGAATTCGAATATTCGAATAATGTTACATTTCAAAGTTCGAATGAACGAATATTCGAATAAATGGGGTTGGTCGAACATTCGACTATTCGAATTATCGAATAATTACACATATTCGAATATTCGACTATTCGAACAATTCGAATGATCTACATCTCAAACAATGCTGGTTTTTTCTTTGTTGCGGTTGTCTGCAAGAAAATTAATCGCTAATTTCATCTTTGTGGCTGATAATTATATGTGTAGCAAGTGGTAGGAAGACTCGTTGGTTAGGGTTCCACCTAGGAAACAGAAGAACTTCACTCATACATGTAGTTCGAGGTGTTCATGGTCTTTTAAGATGGCTACTAAGACTTACTTAGTAATCGTTTTGAGTCCGCATTTATTTTTCCTCATAGAAGTTTCTCGCGAAGCTACACAGAACTTTTTCCCAAAGCTGAAGATTTAACAAGAGAATTGAGGTGAAAATTCGAGCGTATACCAATAAGGAGTATGCTTTATGGAGTGCTAATTGATAGGTAGCTAATTTATTTATAGTCCAAATGTTTAGAAATGTTTTTGTGCTAGTTAGCGAAGTATTAGGAAACTTCAACATTCAATTAGACTTGGTCTACAAGGGTTGCTTGGCATGCTAATCACGACAACGATACTCATTTTGTCTAGTAGATTCCCTTTCTTCTTGCGATAAGTATGTAAATCAAAGAGGTGTTACAGAGACAAGACTCAGGGGGGGGGGGTTTATCCGGCGTTCGTGTCAACCTTTATTCTAGTTATCACTGTATGTTAGGTGAATTACCCTTTTGAGCAAAGTGATTACGGATTTCAAATTAACTCGCAGTCACAACCAGGGTTGAGCAAGAGGTCAGGCACAAGTCCTTCAAAAACGACTCCCCCCCTGTGAAAGCCCCTAAACGACCCTCCGCTTTACCTCCAAGTCCCCAGGGTATTATACTTTGAAGAAGACCAGCCTTCACTGCACGTTTCTATTTTTTGAAAGTCTGTAGGCCCGACTTTCTGCGATTGCACAACCACACGCAACTTGACGGCAAGTTTTAGATCTGATAGTCCTCTTTTCAGAGCTTTATTTTTCACAGGGGTTTGGTGCTTGGCTTCAAATCTTATATATAAAGCTGAATGTCTGTTTGTCTGTATGTCTGTCTGTCTGTCTGTCTGTCTGTCTGTCTGTGTGTACATATGTTCCGAATAGAAAATTCCATTTCTGAACCGATCCGGACCAAACTTGGCACACATACACTACGGGCCCCGGCGGGTGTCATAGGCTACTTTTCGTCATCGATCGATATCGATTTTATCGATTTTTATCGATTTTTTTGCTGAGTTCACCTACGGGGCTGGGAGTTGGCACAGGGGGGTAATCGAGCATGGGGATTCCGAATACAATATTGGTTTTCAGGATTATCGATTACTTTTATCGATTTTATCGATTTTTTTGCAAAGTTTGAGCTACGGGGCTGGGAGTTGGCACAGGGGGGTAACCGGGCATGGGGATTCCGAATACAATATTGGTTTTCAGGATTATCGATTACTTTTATCGATTTTATCGATTTTTTTGCAAAGTTTGAGCTACGGGGCTGGGAGTTGGCACAGGGGGGTAATCGAGCATGGGGATTCCGAATACAATATTGGTTTTCGGGATTATCGATTACTTTTATCGATTTTATCGATTTTTTTGCAAAGTTTGAGCTACGGGGCTGGGAGTTGGCACAGGGGGGTAATCGAGCATGGGGATTCCGAATACAATATTGGTTTTCGGGATTATCGATTACTTTTATCGATTTTATCGATTTTTTTGCAAAGTTTGAGCTAGGGGGCTGGGAGTTGGCACAGGGGGTAATCGAGCATGCTGATCATCCCCAAGGGGGGTGATCAGCATGCTCGATTACACCCCTGTGCAAACTCCCAGCCCCGCAGGTCAAACTTTACAAAAAAATCGATAAAATCGATAAAAGTAATGGACGATCCTGAAAACTAATATTGTGTTCGTAATCAGCATGCTCGATTACCCCCCTGTGCAAAATCCCAGCCTCGCATGTCAAAATTTACAAAAAATCGATAAAATCAATAAAAGTAATCGATAATTCTGAAAACTAATATTGTATTCGGAATCCCCATGCTCACTTCCCCCCCCTGTGCCAACTCCTAGCCCTGTAGGTGAACTCTGCAAAAAATCGATAAAAATCGGTAAAATCGACATCGATCGATAACGAAAAGTGGACTGTGACACCCGCCGGGGCCCGAAGTGTATGTGTGCCAAGTTTGGTCCGGATACGGCGGAGCCGGGTAAGCCAGCTAGTTTTCAATATAGCAAGAAGAGGCTTTGTGGTGAATACTCATATCAAAAAAGGGGCGATTTTTGAATGTTGAAGGCAAGTTAAGAGGGTCAGGCGCAACCCCTCAAAAGCTCAGGCGGCCTGACCTTTTGAGGGGGTGCGCCTGACCCCATTAACTTTATTTCCGAAATAGCCTTTCTACCCAAGTTTTATGTGATTCACTAGCTCAATCCTCGAAGATTCCACAGTAAGTGTTTGAGCTTGATTCGACTTGTTTCGGCCTTGTGCTAATCCGAGGAGTTAAAGCACTCAACGTGAAAAACGCGCCGGTTGGAATTTTGGCAGCACTTCTTACTTCACTGTTTGAAAGCGATATGAAGCCCGATTTGTAGCATAGACTTGTAAAGAGCATTACTTTGTTATGAGTATACAAAAGCTGACTTTTCTCACTTCTGAAACCAAGTTGATCACGTTTGAAAATCACGCTTTTTAGACGTTGCGAGACACTAGAAATTGCATAGGTAATGGTTTATAGGGCGCATACAGGTAATTTGACATGCTGATTATGGAAATGATATCCACTTCACACAGCAAGCTTCTTTGTCGACCCCATATGTCAAGGTAAAAGAGATGAAGATTTGAATTTCGGCTGAAACTTCCACTGTGGAAACAATCAGTATGCTGTTTATGACCGTTATTCCTTCATATGATCGCGATATCCAACGAGCTAGCGCATTTCTTCTTCACCTTCGCAGTATCTCCTCAACTTAACAAATTCGATTCTTAATTACGACCCCCCCCCCTCAGTCTTATCCTCAATACGATCCCCCAGATCGGGCGCGCCTGACCCCACGCTCAACCCTGGTCACAACAAATGTCTTGAGCAGTGTTGCAGACAGCGGCTTGTTGGAATTTCAGGGTTAGAACCTCGTCATGCTTTTTTTGCTCAGACTTCTAGGGCACAACTACAGCAGCAGTTTTGTTTTGACTCGATTTACAAACTTCTTCCACTTTATAACGGCCTCATTTTCACTTGAAACCGTGGATCAATTTCAAAAAGCCTTTAGATGGACGATACTTTCTATTTCCATTTCTCTGTTCTAGAGCGAACAGTTCGTGTATATTCGTAGGAAGTTGTTAGATTTTTAATGTGCGTACCACAGTTAAAAGCGAAAATTATGGAATTTGCTGTAAATTTTCTGTCAATTTGGCAGTTGCATCTTGTTTCGGACAAGAAATACCAACCAACGAACTAAAGATAAAAAATGTTGAGTAACAGTATAAAATAAATTCGTATGAAGCCTGTGGCGGATACGATGGAATGTGCACTGTAGAATTTATTCGAGAATTTTACGATCATATCAATTATTAGGTTGTGAAGAAAGTTCCCGGGCATTTGCGAAAACTTTTTTCAAACCGCTGTAACTTCAAGCAGATTGATTCTTTCCTAAAGCTACAAACTTCATTGCAAAGACAATTTTGCCTGCAACACATTTTTGTTTTGCTGGCTTTTCAGCATCTCACTGCGGTCCACCAGCATGCGCAGAAAGGAAAAAGGTCGTCGTGAAAAGTGGCCTATTTGTGCAGAATTATCTCAGGTACGATGAAAGCTGGAGAGCTCAAATGCTGTGGCTATATAGAAGTCTGCTGGGTTTGTTATGGGGACCATTCATGTTTTTGCAGAACCACTTACAAAAAAAATTTCGGAAAGTTTGAAAAATCGACCATTTTTTGCCCCTAAAAATGCACCATTTTTCGAGTAACTGAATTTGAAGTCTTGTCGTTTGCATAGGTTGGACCAAATCTTTAATTACTGCGAATATGTATAATGCCTTAACGCATAGGCTTAATTAAGCATTTTCTGGACCCATCACTCCGGCGTGGCGATCCCTGCAGAAGCGACGTCAGCTGCGAAAAGAGATGCAGTCAGAGGCAAGTTCGACCGCTTGTAATTTTTGAGCGCCAGAACTCGAATGCAGCTGCATGTCAGAGGTTAACAGGCTTCTCAATCAGATCATCCATGATTTGGACGAAATTCTTTGAACTGCACAAAAAAATGGCTGTAGGAAGAAAAATTGTGAAATTTTTATGGTTGGAAAGATTCCTCTTTTTGATGTGCAGATCAAACACGTTTTGGCATCGATAAAAATCAGAAGCCGTATTGAAAATTTTAGGCTTTTCTCTACTGATCAGTATAAAAAACGGTGTCAAAGTGTCGAGCGCCGAAAAAATGCATTTGAAAATGAAAAGTGCCCGGGAACTTTCTTTGCAACCTAATAGTTTCATATCTGATGTCAAGGGTCTGGTGGAAATTCAATTTGATACAGGAAGGTCCCAAGGTCATGTATAGGATTATTCGTGTCCTCATCATTTTTGACACGATTAAGCACTCTATGGCTGAACTAACCTGCTTATTTTTGGCAGTCTCAACCATCTGCCCAAAAAGAAAAACACCGCAAAATAACTCCAAAACCAATGTGAAGAGCATGCTGTAAACAAAAAATTTCAATTAAGTTTACATATCTTCTTCCAATATGCATGTAATACCATAAAACTGTTCATTTTTTTTACGAGTCTTCAGTTATTCTTAGTAGGTAAAGTTATGTTTCTTCACATCGAAACTTCTCTCCTCTCTCTTTTTGATTTTTTGAAAGTTCATTTCCATGTATCTACTGAAAAAAAAACAACTCGTTGCAAAGTTTTCGCAACAATATTCTGGGTACACCACTGATACAAGCATATGTTTGTATCAGTGGTGTACCCAGGATTTCGGCTCGGGTGGGGGGGGGGGGGAGGGGGGGGACGAAAATTTTTTGGTATGCTTTCTAAATTTTTCGCGGGCTACCCCGAAATTTCCAAAAAGGGGGCTTGGCGTCAGCCACACCCCGAAAAAAAATTTTTTACAAGGCTAATATGAATTTTTTAAAAATCTAAAAAATTATTTCAATTATTTACAAGACCAGACAAGTCATTTGCACAATTTTATAACCCAAGTAAGTGACTTTCAAAAATTTCGCGACCCGTTCTCGGGGGGGGGGGCCTCGATACGCCACTGGCTTGTATCACTTCTTGCTGTTCTAGCAGTATGACCTCACACTAATGCGTTGAATGCCCACCACATAGGCAATATGTACATGTAGGTTGTCTTAAAAGTTTTTACGTTATCTTGAACAAGCACCACCTTTAGCAGAACAGAGATTTCTAAAAAGTGCTGGTAGCATGCTTTGAATGCATTTTCTCATGTTCTTTTAGATCTTATATATCTTTGTAGTGTGACAAACAAGTCTCAGAAAATTACTAACAAGGGAAGTCACTTAACTTAGGTCGGGCTTTTGAAATGAGGCACATATATTTAGAATCAGTTCGGAACGCTGATTCCAAATATGCTATCCTTAGCTGCGAAGCGTTCCTCTAAAGCGAGTTATGAGCTTTTTTAATATGTGTCATTGGCATACAAGTGAATATGGAAAGAAGGTCTTTAGATGAAAATCTGTCCAAAAAGTGGTGGAAAATCAAAATAACATCAAATTGAGTCATTTGGCTTTGATAGGGTATAATATGCATTTGAACCACTACCTAGATGATGATACCGTAGCATGCATAAGTCGGTCAACACGCAAAATTTGCTCAGGAAAAAGCTCATAACTCGCTTCAGAGGAACGCTTCGCAGCTAAGGAAAGCAGATTTGAAATCAGCGTTTCAAGCTGATTCCAACCATACGTGTCTCATTTCAAAAGCCCGACCTAAGTTAAGTGACTTCCCTTGTAAGATAACGCGACCCATGCTTTTGCCATGGTCGAGTTGCGCTTTTTTTTGCAAATTTTCATGGCGACCTCCCAAGAAATCTAAATAACGAATAGCGCAATTCTACAAAGTACAAAAAAACGCTGTTGTTGTATAGCTTGCTTTTTGAAAGTTCCAAAGTCATCTTCCTGATTTTATCAAACTCCATATCTGGTCAACAACCTCATGTTTCATTAACAGGACGGTAACTCAAGTATCACTCAAACCAGCTTCTTCTTCTTTCTCTAACAACTTTTCTTCGGGATTACAAAAATTTACGGAGACAAGATCGTCATAATTCATTTTTTGAATGTACCAGGCTGTATCCGGAAATCTAGGACTTGATATATTGAATCCATGAACACTCATTTGCTTTGCAACACTAGGGTTGATCAACGACTTATCTCTGAGACCTTCAAAATCTGATATTTTGATGTTTGAGTTGTGTCTGAGGTAGATCTCCTAAATTTGAACTCAAAACTAGAACTAGAACTAAACTAGCAGCAAACTAAAGTTAGAACTCAAAGCATGGGTTGCAGATTTTGCTAATCTTTCAAGACGTTATTGACTGCGCTGCGATGCCTTGAAACCATTGAACCATTGAAAGGAAGATGAAGTGTTTATTGAATGCTACCGCGATCTCCTACAAATCTTTGTTCCATCAAATGAGGCGTCCGTTTGAAAAAGCGTAATAACTTCGGAGCGATCTAATCTATCACTATAATTTTTGATTTTCTTATTTTTATGGAACGACTTGAGCGTACAAATGAAAATAAACATAACGCATTGTTTGTAATTCTTAACTCAGTAGATCAATACAGATTTATTCAGCTGCTTTTCTGAAAGAGTTTAGGCTAGAACATCCTTCACAATATCTGAATCAATGCGAGGAAGAGCCGTCCGCTTCATTTTCCCCTCTTCTTCTTTGCTTATTGTTTTTTCATACTAAGCTTAGCTGCCAAGGGATTTCACTGAATTTTAGTTTGGATGTATTACGACAAAGAAACAGTGTGAGATTCACGAATATTCTTGCAAGAAACTAATCATTCTTTATGACCCCCTATCTCTGTATCTGACTAGCACAGAAGCATTTATTGCAAAAAACATATGCAGCAGATGCTCGATTAGTGATCACCAACATTTCCTGGGAAGCATACGAAAGGTAGGAGCAATTTTTCAAGCATTATACCCATAGTTTTAATAAGGTGCATTTAATTACACTTGCCTTAGTACCTCAGCTAGGTCAAAACATTCAGAAAATAAAATTGTTGTTGACTTGATAGACGAAGCTTCAAATCAAATGGCATTTGCAATCGATTACCAGCAGTAAGTTCATTTAAACAATCCTGGGCGACTCACCTCTCCCAACGATCTAATCAGTTCTGCAGCCTAAACAAATCAAAGGCGCGCCCTAAGTAGGTTGCTACAACAAGCGTTTAAGAAGGGAGGTTTCCCAAGTTTGTAGGATAAGATGGCAAAGTCGAACTCTTGTAACGTTAACCTAAGTGGGTGTTTCGCAAATCTAAAAATGATTAGGTCAATCTTTGTTTCTTTCAAGAATCCTGAATAAGCAATGCGTCACTGCATGATTTTGCCCTAACAACACTCAAGTGCAGACTTGCACTCTTATGTAGAAAAACATATTCACGAAAGTCAGTGATGAGAGCGGAAAACGCTAAGTTTGCAGATAAAAAAATTGTGGGCGCATTGCTCGAAAATGTAGTTAATATACTAGCCCATAATATAAATTCGATTATGCCTTATGCGTTACAGCATGTTGCAGCAACCAAATTTTCTATGGTGCGCAAAATGCAATCGTAGCGTATCTAACGTATATAATTAACTTTGTATTATCACGCCATTAGCTAAACTTTTAAGCAAAGCTGTCTCATCATTCATATTCTTTTCTTCCATTTCTTTAGACAGGCTAAAGCCTATCATGAATATCACGAATAAATTAATATGAAATATATCGACAAAGAAATGTGTCTGAAAGTGCAGGATCCGGGATTCGCGATACCTGCGGGTTAACGTTTTCAAAGATTCACCTCACTTGAGATCTGCAGAAATATTTGAATTTAGCTTGATAGGACGAATCTCTTCGTGTACTGCGTAGGTGTAATCCGTCGAGTTACAAGTGCGTGTGATGGAACTCACCTATATATACCATAGCAATTCGTAAGAGGTAACCTCGTTCACCACTGCAGAAAACTGGTCTCGTTAGGATCGTTCAGTAGATCCGATTCCTCACGATCGTCGCGAGGAAAAGGTGTTGTGTATTTTCCTTTTGAAAGAAGAAGTGCTTCAAATTTAAAATGTTGCATGACCAAGCTGAAGCTGTGAATTTTTCGAGGAACTCACAGCAATAGAATGCAGGACTAGTCGCTGAACCCCACAGTGTGCTCAACAGACAATCACTAAGATCTTATTATTGTGTTTCATAATTCTTTGCCTTTTTCCCCTCATAATTTTGCGCTAAATCTGATATTTCTCAAAAACTCCTACTTGTAAATTCTAAAAGCTCATGGTCATACTTCCAAAAGTTTATGCTATAGTACCCCATGTTAAAGCAGTCCAGCGCAGCTTTAGCAACATCATAATTTCTCCATAGCCATGCAAAAATTAGCAAAGCCATAGATAAATCCACTATGGAGGGTCACGCCTGAGCAAGTAGGAAGAGTTTGTGGGAAGTTTTTAGCAGATTTACGACTTTTTTCGATTTTTTGAACATTCGCATCCTCTTAAATTTAGCTTTGAACTTTATGTAGAACAAATTTTGAGAAAATGTTCGGGCGCTATATTCTATTGAGAAAGTAAAATTTGCAAAAAGAATATGGGACACCCTGACATACACCGTTTTTTACTACGATGTGACCAGCGGTTCAAATTATCCCCATTACAGCAGCTTGAGACGAGTACAGTCTCTAAGTTTTTCCCTTAGGAGGTGTACAGTCGAGTAAATCCGCCGTCACAGAAAGCTATCTGTTCACGCGCAAATTTTACAGCGTTTCATCTGCAGGCGAGCACACCATAGCCCGTAGTGAACCCCCCATTAGTGCAACTCGACTTATGCGGGTCTACGTTGTAGGACGCCTCACTCCAGCACCCAGTGAGCTATTGATCTGAGGGGATCGCTCTTCAATCATGGCAATCATGTACGTTTCTAAAAAAGGAACCACTTGATCCGATTTGATCGAATAGGTAAGCGACTGGAATTGAACGCGCGGCTATGGTTCAACACCGGCTAGCGCCACACATTTGCTGTGTCGCCTAGCGTCTTCGATAGCAACCACTATCGCAAAATCGATTATGACCGCTATCAAGGATCTGCATGGATAAAACAAAAACATTTTTAACGAAATTTCATGAAAAAATGAAATGGTTGCGAAATGAAATGAACTAAATCAATAAGTTCTTGTCTCGAGCAACTATTCGAAAAAAAGTCAGCAAACTTCATAAAAAAGAAAGAATCTGTTATTGTCCTTTCCACGCCAAAGTCAGCTGTTCATTGATTCTCTCCTTTTCGGGCCGCGGTATTGCGCGCCGATTTTGTCCGCAGTGTTAGGCAAACTGATGCGTATCGTAAGACTCAGGAGCAACTTTACGGGAGTCTTCCCCGCGTCTCCTCCTTTCCACACTATTTGCATTCGTCCAACATCAGTTCACCTCTAGCTCAACTGAACATGAACTGATGTGCATCAGTTGACTGCAGAAGTGGACGGATGGCCAACTGTCAGTTCACTTGCCATGCTTATAGCATGGGAAGGTCGGCCATCATTTCACCTGACGTGAGCTCAACTGATGGGTTAAGTTCAGTTTACCTGAACTGATCCGGCTTTACTACGGGCCTATATTAAGCGGAAAATTCATTTGACTGTAGGCGTTTCCAAGCTTAGTATTGCATTCCGGCTTAGAGAAATTAGTGAAGTCATGTAGCCAGGGACATTGCTTTCGATGTTTTTCGATCAGCTGTTTTTCGAAGTCGTAGCGGCTTTGCAAAGAGCCAGAATACGCACACTCTCAAATTCGTCTCAATTTTCCGCGTTCAGTCTGCGTTCGGAGTTGCACCGCAGACTTCCGGGGTAATCTGAACATTCTGAGTCTCAGTTTTCTGATATTCACCCATTTCTAGCCATGGTAGATTCGTTCTTTTTTATATGAGGATACATTTTCGTGGGAGAGGGAAAAGTAAGCGTGCATAAAGTAAGTTTTAATAAGCACCTTGCAACAGAAATGCTACAGCAGAATACTCTTCTTCAAGAAATTTTCCTAGTTGCTTCTTTTCAAGGCACCGTCCACCCTAAGTTGAGGATGCTGAGCTTTTGGCAGCATATAACAGTAGGGCCCTCTATCAATCCAATGCCCAAGTCGCGACGCAAAATGCCGCTTCGGAAGCGAGAAAATCGCTTCGGAATAGCAAAGATGCACGAGGATCCCATCCATGCCCGCCCATTTGTGCGCGCCCATCCAATCACCGTTCTGGAAAGCCGGCCTGTGGGTTCTCCGGAACGGGGATTGTCCGAATTTTCGAGCATTCTCGACTTCATATTTGGAATCAGGGACATGAGAAGGCCCTGAAACGACAAAAACGTGGAAGTCGAAAACCTTTAAGGAAATACAATCGTTGAGTTTTGGAAAGAAGCAAGATTCACATCGTTCTACCACCGTAAGGTACCGATAAAACCTCGCTCAAAAGCGCATAAAAAGCTCTCAAATTTCCTTTGAGTGTTTTAAATCCATGCTAGACGTGGGACAGTACTCTTTGAAGGACCTTTTTGATCTTCACCAAAAGTTTTCTCGTGTTCCCAGGTCAAGTAAGAGGCTTAGGTTTATACTTTTAGATAATTTGCACCCTTTATTTTAGCTGATAGAATGAATGAAATCGAACAACAGTCGCAACAGATGCGGCAACGCGGATGACGTGTGCGACGTTGCAACTTTTACTCAGACAGTCGAAGGGATACCGGAGGGCGAATGCCGGGGTTCTGCCGCTTCATTGCTCCGGAGCCCTCCCATTCCACGCGTTTTGGTGCTCCGGGGCTCCTCCAAATCTGGCGCACCCTCGGAGCAGAGATTTGCTAGCACCGGGGAGGAGTCCTATTTTTCCCACTCGCCTTCTTGTGACGTTACCTTGACCGCCCCTCTCCCTGCCTTCTCAATGGTTAAGTGGGCCCTCCGGAGCTGTGCCAGATTTCGACTGCTTTCCGAGCTACGGATTGTCTGAGAAGAGAAAAACAGTGTTGTGGTAGCTAATGCACCGTATGCGAGATGGGTAATTTGATTACCATTTGAGAATAAGTTATTGCCTTTTTCTTCCAAGGCACAGCACTTTTCCTCAGGTGAAGAACTACACTTCGAACCTTCGAATCATTCGAAGCCTTATGTGTAGAGCCTAATCATGATACACAGTCTATTGAAATAGTTTTCTTTGTTGGCTGTTCAACGGCTGGAGGTACACTTTAATCACCATGCGCAAATTTGAGGTCCGAATAGTGTCAATCTCTCTTCGCATCTCTCGCATCTCTCCCCCATACAAGTTTCGCGCTAGCTTAAAAGCGCTAGCACGCTAGTGCGGAACGTTTGTGAGTGGATGTGAGGAGAGTGAGAAGAGTCGAGAAGAGATCACAAAAACTTGAAAACTTTTGGGCGCTTGGGCGTTTGAGAGAAGTGTGACTGGAGCCGAAGAGCATTTGAACATAAATATATTTTTAGAAATCTTTAAACTCAGAAACATCTCACTGTGCAGCATATCCCCTGTTTCGCACAGATACAAAGAGCCGCAATGATAATTATGATATAACAACTCCTCTCTGCTTGCGTAAGCGTGCATTGAAAAAGCATTCAAATTTCTAAAAAAAAACTTCGTCACGGGACCATATTCATGCTAATAGATTCAACGAAAATCCGAACGCTGTGAGAGTGAAACGCCACATTTCAAGTTGTAACGTGGCTATTTGGGTGAAGAGAGTTTCTTTATTAGAATAAATGAGAATGCTACGCAAGTACGGTACTTACGGCATATTCAAACCGCAGAAAATAATTTCGGCGTTATTAGTTATCGGCAAACCAGAAGCTCCATGCACGTTGACGCGCCAAGCCAAGATCCTTGATTACTCCGTGCAAACGGGTATTTATGGTCTTCAATCGGTGGTTTTTGTTCTTTGAGAGATCGCATGAGGATATTTTGAAACAGCAGTCCACGTTTCGTGTTCACGAGTGAGCGATTTTCTTCCGCAATATGTTGAAACGTAGGTGGCAGATGTGCCACAACACGAACATGTCCATTCAGCATCTGTCTACCAGATCCCTACAGTAAGTATTCTAAGGGGCTATCTGGCAAAGTACATATAATTTCCGTATTAGGGCCAAATAATATCTGCGAGCAGATTGACAAATGTGGGTCCATCGTTTTTTGATCTTTCCACGCTCTTGGGCTCGTCGCAAATGTTCTAGACTATTGTTGACCTTTTATTCACCGAAAACTTCGTCTACGAAGGTTCGAAACCCGTCATTAACCAGAACCCTGGTTAGCTACCGCTACCGTTGTTTCAACAGACACTTAAGAGTTAAGATGCTTTGGCTAACTACTCGAAATTGTGAGATTGTCAGCACTTCCGGTTTTCCGCCGAAGATATTGACTAGATAATCTGCTGTTTAGAATCTTTGGCAGCAGCATTACTAGATAGTCTTTATATCAGGTTCTCATCTACGATGATGGCGAGTTACTAGCTCGCCAGATTAATTGTAAAAATTCTAGAATTGCGTGCTTGGGCGGAGGTCCGTCGTAAGTGGTAGTGTATGGTGATTGCAAACAACATCTTTACTTTGCAGATGGTGCTCTGCTGAGCATAGGTGCGATAGGTGGAAAAATTTCTCTGACCCCCTTCACTTCAAAGCCGGCATCTGGCTGACCCCTTTCACTTGAGGTTGAGACGAAAATCAAGGCATAACGGCAGAATCAAACAGCTGCTACAATGGTCGTTTTTTTTTAAAGGAAACGCCAACTGCTCTTCTCCTCAGACATCAAGACTGCAAGAGAAACGCATGCTTGAGACCTTCTGCGCACTCAAAGTGGCGTGGGTAACGAAACATAATAAAAATTAGAAGGATATCCGATTTTTTGGAATATTAACATTGTATCAATGAATACACATTTTCGCAAGAAAGAGT